CACGTTTCAACTGTGTGATACAGTTGACATACATAGGTCCCGGGCACATGGGCCGGAAAATGCGGGGGGAAGCGTGGCTGTTTGCCCCGGAGCAAAATAACGCGCGGCCACCCGATCACACGTCCCGTCAAGGTCCCGTGGTTAGGGGGTAAGGTGCTGATCACACGGCTATCCTACAGCGCGGCAAAGAAGCGGCACGGCGCGATCACACCAGCAATCGCTAGGCGCTGCTTCCATGGAAAATGGGGGTTTTTTAAACCGAAGTTTGTGCGCATGCGCCGTTGGGCGCTTTTGCGCATCCTGAGGAGATGGAACATCAGCGGGCGCCGGATGCCACGAAATTCCACCGGAAACGTGATCAGACGCCCACCCTTGCCCCGCGGTTTCCGAAAACCAGTACCTCGTAAGTACTAGTTTTTTACTCCGCATCTTCAGTGGAAAGCCACGGGAGCACTATGGTTCCCAGATGTTGTGGTGTGATCGCGCCCGGAAAATCCGCCTATCATCTGTATCTTTAGCGCAGCAACTGCTCCCTGTGACGGGGCCTCAGAAGATCAACACATCAAGTGGTGGATGTTGCAACATTTTGCATTTTTTCCTCCTTTTTTTCTACATAAGTCACAAGGAAAACATTGTGTTGCTTAAGCATAAGGGCTGGTGAGTTGGAACACATAAGGCAACATATTATGACTAAATGAATACGATTTCTTTTTCAACATCCCTCGATAGGCTTAAGCAGATGTGCTATTTCGCCAGAACAAAACACACCTCATTCCCCATTCGACATCAAAGCGTTCCTTCCCTTGTCTCCCCCCCCCCCAAGTCTCACCTGCGCCTGGATGTAGCGAACACGTTGGCTATGTTGCAAAGGAGCACTATGAAGCTTCTGTACAACCCAAGCACGGAACTGAGAGTAGATGTCGAAAAGAACAGAAAGGGGCAACAGGAACAGGCAGACAAAAATCCAGCGATGATGGACCAGCACATACTCTATCCCCTTGTACCTAGCCCACAGCAAGAGCAGCGACAGCCCAATCCCTAGAGACAGCAGCGGCACCATCCTGAGCCGGTCAGCAAGTCACCCCTTCAGTCGAGCCACCCCCTCCTAAGACCCTAAATCGGTCTGCTCGCCTCCTAAACTACTGCCGCCACCGCTTACCGAAACCAAATGCCTGCAAGCCCGGCGGCTGACTATCTGGCGTCCTCGAAGGGCAACGAGACCAGACCCCTGTTCCAACACTGGGTGGCCGCAAGCCGCACGGACTCCACCCCCACTCCGCTCTGTCTGACGACCCCAACGCCGGCAATCTCCCTCTCCCCTCACGCTACCTTTCCCCCTGCCACACTTCCGCGGCAGGGAACCCTAATCCAATGCCCTCCGCACCACCTGCAGACAAACCTCGCCTTCCGACTGAGCTCCACTTCGGAGTCGGGGGAGGTCAAAAGGAAGACCCTTTGTACAGTTTGCTGGATTTTTCAGCAACGGCGATCATAGGCCCCCGAACACCCGCTCCGACATGCAGCCCCTTTCCAAACTCTCTCCTCCCTGACCAGAAGCCGTTAAATCCAAGTATCTAGAGGCCTCGACGGTAACTGACCAGTAACTGCGCTCCCTTCCCCCCCCCCCTTGAGCTTTCTTCCGCCCACTCCTCAAAACACACACAAATCTCCCTCTACCAGTGCGTCCCCCCCCGTTCTAACCGCCGCTGCTCCGTCAAGCAACTCGGAGCCAGCACATTTCTCTCCTGATTGGCTGAACTGCGCCCTCAACGGTGTGGAGAGGTATGATGTCCAACCACTAGGAAGGCGCCGTTGGGATCGGATCAGGCGCCGCGCAGGGGGATTGGCTAGAAGAGCCAAGGCGGTCTTCACTGGCGAGGAGGGAGGGTGGCTGGGCTGCTCCGCTTGTTCGGTGCCGGTAAATGGCACGTGGGGACTCGCGGCCGCTTCCTTCTTACAGAGGCCGAGGTATAGGGTTATCACAACGCCATGAGAGACTCCTCCTCGAATACCTGAGACCGCTCTGGTTCCCCCTGCTGTGGTACACGTGAAGCAATAATTAATAGTAAAGCGCTCCTAAGCATGTGTAGAATGCTTTCCTCCCTCTCCCAGGGACGGTCGCAAAACAAAACCTCCCCCGCTCCCCCACCACAAGGCTTAATTTGAATTAGGGTTAAACTTCAGATTGTTGTTCATGTTTCAGTACCATCTCTCAGTCCTGGACACATGAAGTGGTTATGAAAGAGCCATCCCAGCCTCAACGCAGTACAGTTCCATGTTCACCGTGCACAAAACAGGCTTAGTACAGCTTCCTATGTCGCTTCCAGCATGCTGTGTAAACGAATAATATAGGACAAAAAGGGACCCACAACATTGCGTATTGAGTTGTGGTTTGTTTTATATCCCTATAAAGCTAAGGCATATGGAAGACATTAAGGGGGCATCACAGAGCATCTCCCACAGACTGCAGGGGGTGGTGATTACCGAGCACAGCAGTAAAATATTCAAAGTGACTCTGTGCATCAGAGACCACTGCAGCTGGTATCACCCTCCTGGCATTTAAAAGGTTAAGTGCCATATAGTGGGAAGGAAGGGCTTGCAGAATTGGGGACACACAAGAAACATGCAGGGAGGGGGTATTCTCCCACCTTTGCTTTCCCCCCTCCCCTTCTTTCTCTTGCTTTCTCTCCCCAACCCAATACCCTCTCTTTCTCTCTGCCCCTAAGCTAGGGTTGCCAGCTCCAGGTTGGGAATCCCTGGAGGTTTTGGGGGGTGAAGCCTGGTGAGGGTGGGATTTGGGAGGGCAGGGGTCATTTTGTAGAAAAAGAGCTGCAGGAGCTCATTAGCATAACTTATTAGCATATGCCACACCCCCTGACATCACTGGAAGTATGGACCAGCCCCTCTGACAGGCAGAAGCGCCTGGGATCCATTCTTTCCTCCCTCTCCCTTCCCTTTGTCGGGCGAAGGAAAAGGGGAGGGGGAGGATCTCAGGCGCTTCTGCCTGACAGAGGTGCTGGCGTGCCCACAGCCAGCCTGGGTGAATTATAGAATCATAGACTCATAGAGTGGGAAGGGATCTCCAGGGTCATCTAGTCCAACCCCCTGCACAATGCAGGAAATTCACCAATACCCCCCCACACACCCCAGTGACCCCGTTCCACGCCCAGAATATGATTTTAAAAAACCCTCCAGGATCACTGTGGGGTCCAAGCGGCAATGCGGCTCGGACATCACAAGCGAGAGGTGGAATTTGCCCCTACGAGTCCAAGGCCACCACCCCAGGGCTCCTGGAGGAGGGAGAACGTTTTGCCCCCCCCCCCGCGGGCGTCACAGCTGCCGCTTAGAACAGCGGCGGTGCCCATAAATTTTTAAAGAGCCCCTAAGGAGAGCTGGGGGAGCCAGAATGACCTCTCGCGTGTGACCTCTCACGAGAGGTGGAATTTGCCCCTACGAGTCCAAGGCCACCACCTTGGGGCTCAGGGAGGCACGAGAACGTTTCGCCGCCGCCCCCCGCGGGTGTTGCAGCTGCCGCCAAGAAGAGCGGCGGCGGACATAACTTTTTAAAGAGCCCCTAAGGAGAGGTGGGGGAGCCAGAATGACCTCTCGCGGAAT